CCGCTCTTTTGTAAACAATCCACCCTGGGAAAATGTCTAAAGTTTGAGTCACGTTCACAAACGATTTGGCGGCACCTGGTGGAAAGCGAAGACGTACATCTCATTTAACTAATTAGAGGACAAATATGATAGTTTTTGGAAGTCGTACATAGTACGAAGTAGGCTCAGCCAAAGTTGTATTAAGTAGACGACTCTTGCTGAAATTTGAGATCTTAAGAACCACACTACAAGAGCTTGGTGTGAAATCCGATCGACATCTCGTCACTAACGTCTTGTATTCGAAGCGAGAAAACGTATTTAAAAATACAGTTTCTTTGACGTTGAGATTGAGTTGTTTTACCCTAATATTACAAGTACAGGCAAGCAATTTGCTTATCAGTACAAAGAGCTAATAATACAAGAACTGTAAACGCCTACACCCGCTTGCACTCAGAACAACACGCTGTAGTCCATTGTTAACTTTTCGTGACGTTTTAGGTAAAATCGGAGTTTTTAAGACGGACCTCAAAGACTACTTAAAGAATAATCCAAACTGATCTTAATANGGAAACATGTTTTACTTCGGAAATAAACTGCCGCTCTTTTGTAAACAACCCACCCTGGGAAAATGTCTAAAGTTGGGTCACGTTCACTAACGATTTGGCGACACCTGGTGGAGAGCGAAGACGTACATCTCATTTTACTAATTAGAGGACAAATATGATAGTTTTTGGAAGTCGTACATAGTACGAAGTAGGCTCAGCCAAAGTTGTATTAAGTAGACGACTCTTGTTGAAATTTGAAATCTTAAGAACCACACTACAAGAGCTTGTGTGTGAAATCCAATCGACATCTCGTCACAAACGTCTTGTATTCGAAGCAAGAAAACGTATTTAAAAATACAGTATCTTTGATGTTGAGATTGAGTTGTTTTACCCTTATATTACAAGTACAAGCAAACAATTTGCTTATCAATACAAAGAGCTAATAATACAAGAACTGTAAACGCCTACATCCGCTTGCACTCAGAACAACACGCAGTACTCCATTGTTAACTTTTCGTGACGTTTTAGGTAAAATCGGAGTTTTTCAGACGGACCTCAAAGACTACTTAAAGAATAATCCAAACTGATCTTAATACATGTTTTACAACAACATAAAAGTAATCCAAAGGCGAAGTTTCAAGTAATTTGAGGTTATAGCACATCTCTGAATTTTATTCGTAAATCAGAAATTTGACCTAGTAACTCAAAAGGATTTTTTAAAAATTCGTTTATTTATTCTCGAATGGCGCTCAAGTCAAGTTCTGACCTGTTTTGGATAGCTGAATACTTTGTCTTTCGGGAAAAAGTATCGATAAGTTGTAGTTCTCCTTTACACGCAAACGCAAATTTAAGTTCAGGTTTTTACTTTACAGCCTTTGAGTGTTGCCATTTTGGAGACCGTCGAGGCGAAAATCGTTTTCTCGAATTGAAAGCACTTCGAGCTCAAAAAAACTGTATCACGTTTC